GTTGAAGGGGTCCGGTATGAGCTGCGTGAAATTTATGGAATTGGCAAACCAGATGAAGCAGCCATAAATGATGACTCAGGAAAAGAATGTGTCATTTGCATGACCGAACCAAGGGATACAGCAGTTTTGCCTTGTAGACATATGGTAAGAGTATCATCATTTTCAAATCTGCACTTTTTATTATGGGTAGTTTCAGTAAAAATAACATTTCATATGATCTTTCTGTGCTGGAGAAACCGGATATATAGTTGCTAGAATACCTTTAAACTATGTTTGGTTCAAGAAATTAGAAAGGAAAAGAAAACTGTTTTCTCTCATTTTCCTCACTAAAATGGGATGAATTTTGTTTCCCTCCTTCAGTATATTTTGTCTTCTCATTTTCTCTACCTTCCACTTTTTTTTCTTTTCCTCTCTAAACTAACAAAAAAAATTGTTTTCCATCTCATTTTCTTTTCTTTTACCTTCCAAATTCCTTGAAGCAAACATAGTGTTAATGATGTACTCATACTATGACTATTTGTAGGCGCTGCTGCTGTTTTTTGCCTGAGCCATCCATGGAATTGGCAAAGCAAATAACGGCCCTGTGCAACAAGATATTTTATTTTCAAATAGAGGAAAATTTTCATTTTTTTATGTGAAATGTATTAAAAAATTCCCGAACACTCTTTGGTTCAAAGAATTTGAAAGGAAAAAGAAAAGAAAATGAAGTGGAAAACAATATTTTTTGTTTGGTTAGAAAGGAAATGAAAGGAAAACTGAAAGGAAAAGAAAATGAGAAGGCAATATATACTTAGAGGAGAGAAAATCAAATTCCTTCCATTTTGGTGAGGAAAATGAGAGAAAATTGTTTTCTTTTCTTTTCCTTCCAAATTCTTTGGACCAAACATAGTGTAACTTTTCTTTTGAAACAGAGAAAATTAAATTTTAATGACTGAAGGCCATGTGCGGGTGCACACTTTGAACCCCACCAGGGCCTCTTGTGATTATTGTCTATAGTATGTTAAAAGTAATTCATTTTCCAGTATCATCACTCATCTGCATACTCTCTCATAAGTAAGAATTTATATGTCAAAAGGTAATTAAGGACATAGCGTCATATCATAACGATGTCCCTCAAGGAAAAAAAACATCAAAACGACGAGCAAAAAAACAATGGAGTCTCATCCATATATACGCTCCAAGTTTTAGCTTTTTAATTTTTTTTCTCTTATATTTTGGGGAACGCCTAATGATGCATGATACAAGAGGTTTATTTTGAACATTGTTTTTTCCAACATAAGTCCCATTCGATGGAATGAATCTTTTGTTTGATGTAGTTTGCCAAAGAGAAATCATATAGAAATTACATATGGTATATTTAGTAAAAGCAGGAAATAAAATTTGTTAACTTACAAAAATGTAAAAGTTTTACCCTAATCAGAGATAACTCTCTTTTGGTACATGTATCTTTTTATTTTCCTCTGGCCTATAATGCATTTCTATTTCTAAAACCTTGTCTTGGCCTTTTTGGGCTACCATGGTTTTGCTTGCAGTGTCTCTGCGGTGAATGCGCAAAGGTTTTGAGGCTTCAATCAAACAAGTGTCCGATATGTCGTCAACCCATTGAAGAGCTTCTGGAGATAAAGGTTAATGAAGCGAGCTACTAAATGCATACACGGTCATACTTTGGTGTAAATACAACTGGAGATCTTAAGAATCAACACTCGTGCTCAAAAGCAAAAAGAAATAAAGAGAAAACCACGAGCCTTTTCTGGGCTTAGCCAAGCGAAAGGGGTACGTTTCTTCTTTGAAATGTGGGGCGAGATTACATATTCAAGGTGGCTTGGAAGCCATTTTTAGGAGTTTGAGTTGAATAGCGATGATTCAAAGCATTTTTTTCCCACTATACTCAAATTTGTAGTAAACAAAATGCTACCGTTTGTTTCATAGATACATATAGAATTTTGTAAAAAAAAAAAGAATGTACTCCGTATTAAATGGGAGTCCGATGTACGGATTGGAGTGAGATGTTTCAAGATTTGCCCTACAATATGGACTAAATAGCCCAAATTAGTAATATTAGCCCTACAATATGGACTAAATAGCCCAAATTAGAAATTAATAATAACACATGGATGATTTTTTTATGTATAGTTTTTAATGCATAAATTATATTTTTATATATAGTTTTTAATGCATAAATTATATTTTGCATTTTACAAGAATAATTAAATAAATTGAATTGAAAATAAATGTTGTCGGAAACTTATATTGGTATCATTGTTGTTATCATGGTTTTAGTTTTAGGACTCTTGTAGGCTGTGATACCAAATTCAGTGTCATATTTTATTTCAACTAATAAAAGTTGAAGATGGCATTTGGACTACACACTTGAGTTGATACTCATATATTTCTTCCTCCGTTCCTCTTAAAATTTGTGATTCACTTCTCAAATTAAGTACAGTAAGTTAAAGTTAAAAAGGAAGGGTGAAATAACAAGAAATTTCTAAAGTTTGTGCTATTGGGAGTTCCTATATTATTATTACATTGTTTATTCTGCATCAAACAAATGTTTATTTAAAAGTTAAAGACTACTCATTTTAATATTTAGGACGTATTTTGCGAGCAAAAGATATATGGATTTTGATATCTTCGGATATCAAAACTTACCTTTTTTGTTTGGTGAAGTCTAAAGAGATATCGAATGGTTGATCTCATTTCAGTTAAACACCAACCTTTCCCATTCTATTATTTGGGATGTCCAATATATAAAGGCAGGCTAAAAGTGTGCTATTGTAACACACTATTGGAGAGAATATCACAAAAATGTGAGGGATGGCAGGGGAGATTATTATCCTATGGTGGTAAACAAGTCCTCATTAAGAGTGTGCTGCAAGCTCTTCCTTCCCATCTCTTCTCGGCTATTCAACCTCCCAAAACAATTTTGAGTAAAATGGAGCAGGCTTCTTTTGGGGCCAATCTGCTAGGAAAAAGCACTACCATTGGAGCTCATGGGAGCATATGAGCTTTTCTGTTAAAGAAGGAGGTTTGGGCTTTACTAGAATGCAGACCATGGTGGATGCTTGCAGTGCCAAGTTGTGGTGGAATTTTAGAATCTCTGTCACCTTATGGACTCAATTCATGAAAGCCAAATATTGTCAAAGAGTTCACCCTGTTGCTAAGGTGTGGCAACATGGTGAGTCCCACATATGGAAGAGGATGGTCTTCATTCGAAACCTTATTGAACCCTACATATTTTGGAAGATATATGATGGATCCTTGAGCTTCTGGTGGGATAACTGGACAGGTCTGGGAGCTTTAGCTCGTATTACCAACCAGGAGAATGGGAGGCAACTTTCATTTACTGGATCTGAGTTCTTGGCTGACGTCACGACGTGGAAGTAGTCCTCTAGTGACATCGGGAAACACGTCTCAATAGTGTAAAAGATTTTGACCTTTCCTTTTGAGAGAGAGAGATGATTTTTGGTAAATGGATCTCTTCTATGGTTGATTGTTCTTTGAAATTCATAATTTCTCTCTAGGTTTCTCGGATATTTTAGAAGAAATATTCCAAAAGATCACTTTTTTGAGAATATACTTCCTAAGTTTGTAGTGCCGACCATGGACTTTGCACGACTCGAGCATCGATCTTTGTATGGCCGAACTTAACCGGTCCCACGGTCGGCGCCAAATGATGGTGTTAATTGTTATGACCGGCTTTATCATTTTTATTGTGTCAAAATGATAAACGAGCCTAACAATCACAAAAAATACGTAAAAGCTATTTTTGGCGTGGAAACCCAAATCGGGAGAAAACCACGGGCCTTTTTTGGCGGTATCATGCCAACAGGGAGATTTTATTAATATCGGGGTTTGTACATTGTACATAATCTTGGCATTATAGCCATTGATGGAGCATTTTAACTCTATAAAGAATAAATAATACAAGGAGTATTTTCTAAGTAATGTGAGAGAGTATAGTTACATGGTAGTATAGGAGAAAATATGGAAATTGGCCTCCTAATCCTGAAGGTGAAGGGTTCCTTTTATAGTGAGATATGAGGGAGTAGTTATGGAGATATGTATGGTAGGGAGTGAATGGTGGGAGTAATTATGGTAGGGAGTGATGGGTGGAGGTAGTTATGGTAACGAGTGAATAGTGGATGTAATTAAGGAAAGTATGATATGAAGAGTAATTTGTGGTCAGTGTTTGGTGATGATAATTATGGTAATATTAATTGGGAAATTCGGACCGGGACATTCGGGTCAATTAATATTTCTCATCACGCAGGAACGTGATAAACTCTTATCGTTCTCAGTTTCATCATCAACATCGCTGACCTCTCATCAACATTTTTTAAAGCGGTTAAGCTCCTCGTGCTCGTAGGAAAGGCAATTTTAAAGCACGGAATAAAAATCACGTTGAATAATCTTACTGCGAAGGGTTTGCAAATGGCCGCATTTATATTATGAAATTCTAAAACTTCTATTTATAGTACGAAGGGTTTGAGCCTGTTTGGGAATAGCGTTAGAGATTAGCGTTAATAAAGTGTTACAGTTGAGCTATTTACAATGGTAAAAAAAGAATTACATTTGCAATTATTATTCTTATTATTCATTATTGAGATATTATGTTGCCTTTTTTAGTTTTAAATACGTTGGATTCTAGAAAATAATATACGTTTAAAGTTTAAAATTGGAATACCGTGCCATAGAATTTAATAGACGATACCAAAAATAGTGTATAATTGCTTTGTGTTATTTATCAATCACGATGCAATTACCCTTTTTATAACCCTTTTTGTATTAATTAGCGTATATTAATTTTGCGTTGTATCCTTAATAATAATACACAAAACTCTTATTATTTTCTTCTTCAATACATGTTTTATTTTTATTCTTACGAAACAGAAATTTTCATTTTTTTATTTTTGAAACGGAACTTTTTTGTTTATAAACAAATTTCCATTCTATATAACTCGAAGTATAATTCTGGAAAAGAAATCCCGTGCATTGCATAACATTGTCCTTTAAATTTCTTACCATTTTTAAATACCTAACTGCATTATCACACTATGCAAACCTTGTTGACTCAAAAAAAAAGACATGCTTGACCAAATTTCTCTCCAAAACAATTCAAGACCAATTTGTTTGCACAATGAAGTGTTTAAAAAAATCCCAATCTGGAATCCTAGTCGAGGGACACGATTTCGTACATGGGTTTCAACTGTAAGGCCTTGCAATGCTCTCACAATCAACAATTTGCATTTCTCATGTTGTGTCTTTGAGGTACAAATCGCCACAAGTCCACGGCAATGTCTACCTCCTTTTTCTTGTGAAATTTATATAGTTGTGGCACGTCATACCGAAGCTGTAAAATGGAAGCGATTACTTTAACTTCACAAATACCATACATACTCCTAGCATGCACTCTAACAACTTCTATTATATGTACCTCACAGATAACCTCTGCACTGCTAGCATTGAAATCCCTCAATGCAGCTCTTTTGACGTGCTGTTATCGCCATAATAAGAAGAAACATGGTAAGAATTCTAATTCCCAAATGTTCCACAAAGTACGCATGGGACCCAACAATTGACCACAAACCAATTGGCATTGACAGTGATAGTATAATAGAAGGCCAAAATCGGTGTTTGTTCGGTAAAACATATATACTCGCTCCGTCCTTGTGTATCTTTCCACTTTGGTGAAGATACACATGTTGAGGAGAGTACTTAAGGCAACCACTATTGATACAAATTTAGTGCAAAATATCTAGTTTACCCTTCAATGTAAAATAATGTGGCATGTTCAATGTATCTAGAGTCTCAATATTTATGAGGGTAAGGGCGCGTACATCTTGACACCGAACCTCCAATGGGGCAGGGATTATACTGGGTTTGTTATTATTGTTGTGTGTATAATTTATATAGAAAAAAATACCACAAAAATGAAGGTCTGGGGAGGGTGTGTGTATGCAAAACTCTACCCCTACTTGAAGGCAGAGAGGTGCAGAAACCAAATCAGAAGAAAAAATAATCAAACAAAAAGCTATGCGTTTTAATGAAGATATTCCACAACCCCCAAAACCATGCAATGATATAGATATTGCATCATTTCTCTAATGAATCAAAGGTTGGCTCAAAGAAAAAGCTTTCTTTCCAAGGAGATGCAACTTATCAGTTAGCCAGACTTACTTCTCTAGTCGTGGTCTTGTGCAAGGAATAAACCGCTTGGGAAGCAACCTAGTAAAAGCAAACTGTTAGTCAATCACATCCATGATCTACATATGAAGCACGGAAGAGGCCAGTAAGTGAAACTCGGAAAGGAACGTCATGTTCCTACCTTCAATGCCACAGAAAGGAAATCCATGTCAGCACCTTTCTTCCGCGTGCCAAATGGAGGATTCATCACAACAGTATCTACAATCTGGCCTGAAAAGGATTTCAAAATTCAGGCTCGCAGCTTTCGTCCATTGTAAAAAGAGAAAATGTCAGAATGCGCCGATGAACCCAAATTTGCTATCAAGAGAAGAAAAGTTAAGGATACAGAGCTTTAGGGAATACAAAAATCATATTTTAAACTTGAAAGTTAATATTTGGCAATCAAGAGACACAAGTTTAGTAAAAATCATATTCTAAACTGTGTTTTAATAAAATTACAACACAGAGATGCACGAGTCATGTTCCTTTTTCCACTAATGTTTTTCCACTGTTGAATTCAGGCTTCAAAGAAAGTAGGACTCGTTTGGATTTGAACATTTTTTATTATGTTTAATTAAATTATTTTCTTGAGCGGTTTCCATCATCTCTTATAGAGCCAAAGATTCACTATTTTTTAGCTTTGGGGTATGATGGAATAAAGCAAAATGGTTCTTTAATTTGTCGGCACTTCTTTTAATAGTGAAGTAGCAGTTAGTCAATGTAACTTTCGACGCTCACCATGGGTCATCCTGAAACAACCGCTCTATGCTTATTCAACCCCCTTACCCGTCAATGGGCAGGAGCCTTTGAGACACTGAGGTAATGTTGTTGTTATTGTGGACCTCTGTTTTCAAAATGAATGAGGCAGGTTGTGAATTTAGTAGTTGGAAATTGCCCTAAGTCGACTTTGCAAGTCCATGATCTTTTTCATATTAAATCATGATTTTAAAAGCATTACAAACATGTGAGCAACTCATATGAAATTGGAATCCTACAGATTGTGAAACAATTCCAAAAATTGCATAACCGATTTTTTTTTTTTTTGAAAAGCATGCTACAACCACCAACCATTCAACAATTATCACCAATGGAATACCTTTCCATGGTAAGTTCTTGATATCACATTGAACAAATTGCATATCTACCTGCAGGAGTAAAGGAAAAACAGCAAGCGAACAACACAATTGCTACATAAGAGCATCATTGAAGAATCCCAAGAAATGAGATGAGTCAAAAGTACCTCAAGCTCATCAGCATTCGTAGCTGCAATCTCAAGGGACTCACTATCTATGTCAAGGCCAATAACATGTCTGTGCCATGTGATTAATTAAAAATAAAATCAGACAAAAATAAAAATAAAAAGCCATCCTTTTCATAACATTATTTTAAAAAATAAGTTATTCTCACTTAGTCCTTCAATTATGACTCAATCCCTGACCCTGAGTTTATAAGTTAGGTCATTCAAATGTATTTCTCAGACTGGGTTTATAAATTCCATGTCGGACGCCGAGCAAAAAACATTATCGGGAGTTTGGAGAGCTGAGTTTTGAAGTCCAAAAACCCAGAGACTGACTCCATCTTAGCCTAAAAACCGGGGAATAAAAATTACAAATAACGCTTAAAATGTCCAAAGATTAATTCTTTATCAAATAAAATCATAATCAAAGCACACAAATGGGAGGGGTACATACTCAGCCTCTAAGAGAGCTGCAGCAAGGCCTAATGTACCACAACCACAACCAAAATCAGCAACCACCTTATTGCTCACATCACCAAATGAATTTTCAGCCTATATTTATCCACATATGGAAAAAATAAAAATTCGTAAAAGAATGTAAAGAACAGAGAGTTTAATGATTAAATCAAAATAATAGATACTCTAAAGTGGGAATATAAGAAATTTTACAGTGTATAACATCCGAGAAGCTATGTGGGGTCCAGTTGGATATTGTTCGAGTTCAATCTGCCATTAAAACGTAAGAAAACTCCGCTACAGAAAGAACAACCCACAAATCCGTACATACTATAAATGCATATAGATATATGGGGAAATATAAGGGGGTAAGGAAGAGACCTTGGGATTGGAGAACTGTTCAAGAGATCCAAGAATACCCTCAAGCTGCTTCAGCTTCATCTTCAACTCGCTGCAACGGACACCCTTCGCCCCTTTTCTTCTTCAATTGTTTCTACCATAGTTTTGAGAACTGGACGGGTGACCGAACCGGTCAAGGTACTGGTTCACTGGTCGAACCAGTGGTTCAACTGGTCGAACCGGTGGTTTAAACATATTTAAAAATTATATATATATATATATATATATATATATATATATATATAGGGGCCGGTTCCTGTGAGAATGCACCTTGTGGAGAGAAATGAGAATGAAATCTAACCGTTGGATCTGATGCATCGTGCGGCTCAGATTGCATCATGCGCTCAGATTTTGAGATAGTGCATTTTCAAAGGATTATGATGCATTTCAACGTGATGCATTTTCAAACCATTTTGTTGCACTTAATTTTGATGCAATCCTGACCCTTAGATCGCGCAATCTAAAGCACCAGATTCATTCTCATTTCTCTCCTAAGATCGCATTCTCACCAGATTCATATATATAAGAATAAATATCTACCGTTTGATCAACCAGTCTTGATTTATCTCCCATCGGCATAATTAAGGGCATTATTGTATATTCAATTGAATTCCTTTTTCTCTCTCTCGTCTCTCTTCATAGTGCCCGCAAGATTAGCGTGATCTTCCTTCCCTATCTCACAACTGATCTAGAGTTTTCTCATATGAGTTAATCTCTCTTCACCGCAGTCAAGATTTATATTTCAAGGTAGGGATACCTTAGTTTTTCATCTTGAATTTTTTAAACATCTCTTCCAGAAGCCGTTTTTTGCCTTAAATTTACATGTCAAATTCTTCTTGTTTTTTCTTGTTCTTGATGTTCATGTCTGATGAGAAGGTTCGTCAATTTTAATAGTCATAATTAGCATCATGTGCATGTTTTCTTTGTTTCCATCTCCACATCTAAGTTTTTAATCCCTTTGTGTTCACTCTTTTGGTCAGAATTCGATTTCTTAATTCATTGAATTTTTAAATTGAATGATGAAAATTTTGATTTCATGTTTGCATTCACACATTCCATATACCTGTTCTTTAATTTTCAACCCTTGATCATGTAGTTTCTTTATTTGCAGGTGTAATTTTTTACTTATGGTGCATTTTTCATATTTCACTCTGTTTGCAATGGTATGTGTACTATTATGTATTGTAATGCATTATGTGATGTTCGCACTGCATACATCCACCGAAAAGGATGATGGACACAAGTTTGTGTTCACTTTTAGGCACTATTTTTGTTCATTATGTGTTATAGGTCAACTCTCTCCACATTCCAGTTTTCATTATTTCATTCACTTTTGGATTCTGAGAGTTCGATGTCTCGATTCACTTAGTTTGTAATTAGAAGGGCTACAAGATACAAATTTGATTTTGTACGTGTTTTAATACATTTATTAATATCTACTTTGTGATTTTCAACCATTGATTAAACGATTTCATTATTTGTTGGTGAGGATTTTTCATTTTATACAATGCCATTTTTTTATATTTAACTCTAGGTGTAACAATATGTATAATTAAAAGCATTGTAATACATTTTATGTTCTTGGTACTGCATGCTTCCACCATCCAGGGTGTTGTACCCAAGTTGTGTTGAGTGTAGGCATAATCTTGTGTCCCATATTATGTGTGGGTTAGCTCTACTCTCCACACACTTAAATTTTTGTTCTTGCACTTTCACTCTCTTATAAGATGTCATTTTTACGATTTAACTCTGGCAATTAAATTATATCTATTTAAATGCACTGTAATGCTCTCTATGTTTTTTATACTACTCGCAGCTGCATACAAGGATGTCTCTTTAACATACTTGAAGATTCCTCTCAATTTGCAGTATTATTAGCCTTGGTTGCACATTGACTAATAGATTTGTTAGAGTTAGAGATCCAATATAATTGGAAAATTGGATGCTTCCTTCCTTGTGTTTTCAAATGAATTTCAAAGTTTAACACCTCCGGTGAGTCTCCCTTTGTGCTGGTCTAGATTGGTTTAGAAGAACAATGATACACCTTTTTCAAAGCCCCTTTTCATGTCTTCTGTTATGCTAGTCTGCATTGGTGTGCTGTGAAATTTTAAGATTTTCTTCTATTAGACATAGCATTGTAGAACACTAGTACTGCACTCCACCCCTTTGTATGCTGCATTTACGTTGAGCACAACCCCCACCTCTAGTCACATTTCAAGGCATAGAAAAAAGAAAGTAAAACATTTGTGGATTGTGATTATATTGTTATATTCTTGGAAATTGTTGGCCATGATAATGTTGATTGGACAATTTGGTATTCAATAGGGGTGTACATTATTGTTTGTTTGTTTTTTTTGTTTTTTTTACTTTGCTTTTTTCTATCATTGTGCATTATTGAATCAGGTTGATGCATTTATAAAAGAGGGCAATACATTTTCAAAATCAAGCTAAAATCAAAATTAATGCATCTTGGGGAGAATTTCCGATGCATTTATATACTGTACATAGTGATTTTTTTGCAAATGATGATGCACTTAAAATTTTCTGTAAAATTCTCATATTAAAATCTATATCTAATAGGTCTAAGTGGAAGTTGTGAGTCTCTTCAAAAAAAATTGGTGCCTATTAGCTCAAATGGTAGAGCAGTACGTACTATGGGTGTATGTACTATCATTGTGCATCATTGAATCAAGTTAATGCATTTATAAAAGAGGGCAATACATTTTCAAAATCAAGCTAAAGGATAATATAGAATCAAAATTGGTGCATCTTGTGGAGAATTTCTAATGCATTTGTATACTGTACATATTGATTTTTTTGCAAATGATGATGCACTTAAAATTTTCTGTAAAATTCTCATCTTAAAATATATATTTAATAAGTCTAAGTGCAAGTTGTGAGTCTCTTTAAAAAAATTGGTGCCTATTAGCTCAAATGGTAGAACAGTACGTACTACGGTTGTGGGTTCGAATCCCGCATAGGCAAACTATTTCTCAAATTTGTATTATATTTATTCTGAATACAATGCATTCTTAAGCTTTTTTCACCTCACAAAAAGTTACTCACTTTCATTATTCACTAATCGACAAATTAATACAAAAATTAAATAAAATATAAAAGTAAGACACAGTGCATATATCAGCTATCATAGTGCAATAATATTAAAAAATCTTTATAAATTTTTAAGTTTTTACTTTAAAATGTGAGAAATTTATAATAAAATGTGATAATACAAGAAATAACCAAATATAGTTAACCAAAAAATGATAAAAATAACATGACAAGAAAGTATTATTTATAAATTTGAAAAAAATCAAAGTAAATAAATAAATCTTTTCCACCGTGTGAAATGCATTAAAATAATGCATATGAGGAATAAAGAGTGCAATAGAAAAAAATATTTAATATTAATTTTTATTGAAGAAAAATGGCAAAAAATAAAAAAGAGAAAAAAATTAAAAAATGAAAAAAACGTGACAATAGATCCGAAAAAGAATGCAAGTGGAAGTCAAATTATATGGAAGGCATTAGTTTCGGAAATGGATAGTTGCGTGTCATCCCTGACCATTTTAAATGCAATACGATTTTACAATATTAACTGTATTACTCTTTGATTTTAATTTACAATCAATGAATTCATTTCCTTACCTTATAAAAGGTAGTGGTGCAGTCCGTTTTGTAGAAGGCTTCCATCCATTGATCGTTTGAAATCAATGGATCTCATTCATTCTTATTTCTTTCGTAGAGGATCATTCATTCTTATATATATATATATATGTGTGTGTGTGTGTGTGTGTGTGTGTGTATATATATATATAAAGGCAATGAAAATTGTATTAATCAAAACGAAAGGAGGGTACAAAGTCATGCGCAAGCGCAGATCTTACATTAATAGGGAGACTAGAAACATATTTGTATTCAATAAAAACAATGTCTTTAATTCTATCTTCCTTTGCCAAGAGGTCAGCAACTCGATTAACTTGTCTCAAAGTATGATGTATTTCCAGCTTGTGTTGTTGGATTAATCTGCTCAAAACATCGGTGGGAAACATGGAGAATGGGTGGGCAGTTTATTTAGTTGTACGTACATAGATCTCCCATGCATCCGTTTCAATAATGAAGTTTGCCGTTAGTCTAACTGCCCATTGCACAGCTCTAATTAGGGCTTGAACTTCAGCAATATATGATGTTCCTGCTATAATTGAGAAACTGGCTGCATGGATGAAGTTGCCTTTATCATCTCGAAGTATACAAGCTCCTCTTTGGTGGGATTCAGTGTAGGAAGCATCCACATTAAGTTTGAGCCTTCCACTAGGAGGGGCCAACCATTTCACCATACGAATAAGTTTCATAGTGCGAAAGGGAGGGCTGATATTGTTGGATATAAGCCAATCATCTCTAGTTCGAAAAGCCTTGGGACATTTGGCCAGTAACCACTGCCTAGTGTAATTAGCTATATTGTTGATTACCTGAGCAGGGTTCCACGCACCGTCATTGTGGATAATTATATTTATTTGCTTCCAAATATGCCAGGAAATGATGGATGGAAGATGTTGCCGAATGAAACCACCAATAGTATTATTACCTCTAAGCCACCACTTCATGTAGAATTGGTTATTAGAAGAGCAGTTACCATGGATGATGCCCAATATAGCTGAAAAATGCCTCCAAATAGGTTGAACCTGTTGACACTCTAAGAGACAGTGACTTGCTGTGTATGGACCATTGTGGCACAAGAAGCAAACTGAGGGAAGATGAAAACCAAGTCTCTCTAAGTTCTCAGGGATGGGCAGAGCTTTCTTGAATAATTTCCAGAGGAAAATGCTAACTTTAGGGTTTTGCCCTTTCCCCCATATGTACATGAAAGATCTACATGTAGGACAAGAGACTCTACAAATGTCATAAGCACTAGATAAACTA